CACACTGATACACAACACACACACTCACATCCCGATACACAACACACCTGCCCCGATACACAACACAAACACACCCACTCACATAATGATACACAACACACTCACACAATCCCCGATATACAACACCCCCCCAATATACAGCACCCCAGATACACACACACATCCACACCCCCGATATGCAACACCCACACCCCAATACACAGTACACCCTCAGATACACACCACACACACTGATATACAACACACCCTCCCCTAATACACAGACACCCCCCGATATACAATACACATATTCACCCAGAGATACACAACACACACTCACCCACACTGGTATACAACATACACACACACACATCCCCCGATATACAACACACACCGCACCCCCAATACACAATGCACACACACACACAGATACACCCCCCCAGCCCAGGGGAAGCGGGTGGGTGGAGGGAAAGGCACTGAGAAGGAGTCTGCCAGGCCTTGGCCCCCTGCCTGGTTCCCAGCTGTTTGCCCAGGGCCCCCTGGCGGGCGGCAGTGGCGTGCGTGGGGGCGAGGCGGGCAGCGCCCGTCCGTCCAGCCCCTCCGCCACTGAGATCCACAGTATTGACTTGTTGTCAAGCTAAGCAGGGGCAATCCCAGCCACGCGCTCGCCGGCCGTCTGTATCCTCTGTCCGATCAATGCCGCCATGGAGAAGGCCCGGCTGCAGCCCGCGCCCGCCGCCCGCTCGCTCAGGCTGATCACCAGCGCGGGCGGCACTGAGCCTGGGATTGCTGGGGTGCGGGCAGGTGGCGAGTGGGCTGTGACTGCCCTTCTCCGGGCACACCGGGCCCCCGGCCTGGGCTGGCTACTCTGGCTACACTGGGGCCTAATGCAGCCAACCCCTCCGCGCCCACCACGTGTCTCAGCTATGGGCACGGGCTGGGGGCACCAAACCTCCCTGCCACGGGGGAGATGGGGGGGTCATGGCGGGGGGGCCCTCATCTGGCCCGCAGCATGGACACAGTGCCCTTCGAACAGCCGCCCCAGCCAGTGCTAAGCCGGGACCCGGGGAGGGGTGGGTGGTCCTGGTACAGCCCTGGACGCCTGGACACCCCATCAGCACCCTCCCCCATGCCCCACACGCGCACGCCTGGCACAGCTGGGGGGAGAAACTGGGGAGCAGTGCAGGCCTGGGGGAGAAGTCCTGGCTCTCACCCACTAGACCCCACTCCCTTCCCAAAGCCAGGAATGGAACCCAGGAGTCCTGAGGCCCACCCCCTGCTCTGCCCAGCGGACCCCCCTCTATCTGACAGTAGCTGGCACAAAGAATGCCGTGCTGTTCCCCCACTCCCGGCAGAGGACTCGGGTTCTAATCCTGCGTCTGGGCCCTGGGGCAGGTCGTTCCCCCTTGCGGCCCCCATGTGTACGCTGGGACGGGGGGTCCCTGCCCCCATCCCCGCAGGGGCAGCAGCGAGCGCAGCGTGGGCGGCTGGGCCCTGTCACCACATGATGAATGGCTCCAATTTGTCAGCAGCTTCGGCCTGTCACTTCTCATCAGGCGGCCCTGGCCTAGCTTGGAGCCATTAGTGTCACTGTGCGGGGGGGGGCGGGGGGGGGGGGGGGGGGGGACAGGCCCGTCTGGGCCCGGCTCTCCGCAGCGCCCCAAGGCCCCCACCTCTCACGCAGCCCAACACTGGCTGTGCCCCCATCCCGGCTGCCTGGCCTGGCACCAGCAAACCGCTGTCCCCGTCCGGGGCAAGGGGCGCCAAGGGGGGCACAGGGAGGGAGGGGTGCCAGAGGCGGCACAAGTCTCGGAGGCACCCACTCTCTCAGGGGTGCGGCGTGCCAGGCCTGTAGTCCCCAGCCAGCCCGACAGCCCCTCCCCGTTGCGCCCCCTGGGCCGGTCGGTCAGGCTGTGCTCTCCCGGGCAGCGCTGGGGTGTCTGTATGTTGGGAAAGTGCCTCGGGAAACAAAACCCAGATTCGCATTGATGATGGTGGCTCGATCCCGCGAGCAGACCCAGACGGGCGGCCCTGGCAGTGGGGACTTCCCTGCCACTTGCACCTCAGTTTCCCCCTCGGGAGGCGGGGGCAGGGCAGGGTGACAGCAGAATAGGAGGGAAGATGTTCGGCCATGGCGCGCCATTCCCCTCCCCTGCCGCCTCAGCCCGGGTGCCAGCGTGCTGTCCGGGCACAGGGAGCATGGGGCCAGACCCGTGCAGCCGTTCGCTGGCAGTGCTGTGGAGCCACCCGCTAGTCACTCTGTTGGGCTGGCGGCACGGGAACCTGACCGCCGTGGGGCTGTCCACCCTCCGTGCCCTGCGGGGAGCACCCTACCTTGGGTAAGCGCTCGGGGTCTCCGGGGTGCCGGGGGATCACCTTCTGCAGCCGCTGGAACCCGTAGTCGATGGTCGGCTCGTTCAGTGCTGGGAAGGGAGGGAGACAGCGAGGGTCAGGTGCCATGGGCCAGGGCTCCCTCTAAACCCCACCTGCCTGAGGGGAGGGGCTGGCGCTGTCCTCGTGGGGGAAACTGAGGCATGGCGCAGGGGGCTGACCTACCCATGGGCACAGAGCCAGGCCACAGAACCCAGGAGTCCTGGGGTGACAAAGTGGGAATGTTTTGTAATGATTCTATGACCCCGGTGTGCGCTTCAGTTTCCCCCCAGCCTTGCCTGGCTCCCAGAGGGAGGAAAGTACGACATTCGCTCTCAGGGCGGCGTGCATGTTGCTGAGCTGTCGGGCTAAAGAGCGGCCGAGTCTGACCCAAAGCCTCAAGGACCCGGCCAGAACGCTGACCCCAGTGGCCCTGGGACTGCGATCTGGGAGGGGACCGGAAGGGATAAGGGGCCGGCTCCTGGCACAGGCCAGAGAGAGCCAGAGCCAGAGGTGAACCCGCTGCCCCCGACTGGTGCTTTGCTGGGGGCAGGACAGACAGACGGTGCTTTCACCCCTACGTCTCAGGGCTGCCCCAGGGCTGCGTCCAGGTGCCCGACAAACCGGGCTCGGTCTGCAAATGCAGCCGGGTGTCACTGCATAACCCTGGGGGTGCACTGCTCTGTGCAGGGGGCGAGGCTCTCCCGGGGGCTGGCCCCATGCCACTCGCTGGGCACAGCTCCCTGCGGGAAACGGGGCTGCAGCCCAGAGGCTCCATCTAGGAAGTGGGGCCCAGGCGAGGAAGAGTGGGACCCAGCGGGGTCCTGGCATACTGAGGGGGGCTCCCCGGGACTGTTTAAAAGGTGGGGCGTTGCCCCGATCCCATGGGTCCGTGACCCCTGGGCCCAGCCACATGCTCTGCTCCCAGGATGTCCCTGCCTCTCCCCCAACCCCCGCAGCTGCATGGCCAGAGACCCAGGGCCCAGGGCCAGAGGGGCAGAGCCTGGCCGGACAACGGGACAGACAGACAGACAGCGGGCGGCTGGGTGCGGAGGTGAGAGGACAGGCACTGCAGGCTGGCAGCAGGAGCCCCTGGCCGCTCCGGGTGGGACGGGCTGGTTCCCGGGGAAGGCTTGGGGACGGGCAGGCTTGCCCCGGCCCCACAGCAATGGCCCAGACAGGCCGTCTCCCCCGCCGTCACCCCATGCTCTGAGCTGTGTGCTGGGGGCGCCCGCCAGCGGCTCCACCCCGCAGCGGGGAGCACGGCACCTGGGGCCCAAACCGCCTGACAGGGGAGCCGCCGCTCAGCAGCCAGGGCTCCCCCAGAGCACATGCCAGCGGGCGGCAGATGGGGATGGAGGGAGAATCACTGACACACACACACGGTGTGACATACACACACTGCCTCACACACAGCATCACACACAGGGTCTCACACACACGCGGTATTACTAGGATGAGCAGATGTCCCGATTTTATAGTGACAGTCCCTATATTCAGGGATTTATCTTATATAGGCTCCTATTACCCCCCACCCCGTCCCGATTTTTCACACTTGCTGTCTGGTCACCCTAGGTATTACACACACGGTGTCATGTCACACACACAGGGTCTCAGACACGGTGCTACACACACAAGTCTAACACACACGCGGTGTCACACACACGGTGTCATGTCACACACACAGGGTCTCACACAGACGAGGTGTCACACACAGCAATGCCCCTCCCAGGAACACACATGTATTGATCCCCCCCCCCCCCCCCCGCACACACCTTCTCAATCTTTCATGGCTGGGCAAAGCCAGAGATGCTGGAAATTGGGACCTGGCCAGCGGAGCAGGGACCAAATCAATCACTAACCGCCCCCCCCCAGTGCCTCAGCCGGGTCGACACGCACAGAACAGGCCTGATCTGGAAAGGGAGGCTGAGCGCCGGGCACCCCGCCCCCAGGGTCCCCTCGGACCCCCGCACAGCAGGCAGGGGGAGCGGGAGGGGGTGTCGGGGAGCCCAGACTAGTGCCCTACGAAAGGGAGCAACCCGGAGCATCGGCTCTCTGCCCTCCTGTCTCTCCCCATCCGTCCCCCGCCTGCATCTCCCCCGCACCGACCCTCCTCCCCTCCCTCCATCCATCTACCCCCCACCTACCCATCCCCCACCTGCATCTCCCCCCCACCGACCCTCCCTCCATCCATCTATCCCCCACCTACCTGTCCCCCGCCTGCATCTACCCCCCACCGACCCTCGGACCCTCCCTCCATCCATCTACCCCCCACCTACCCATCCCCCACC